ACCATCCATCTATTCCTCACCCTACACCCCTATCTTAACACCATCCATCTATTCCTCACCCCTCACCCTAGTCACCCTACTCTCAGTCATTACCTTTTACCCTGGTTACCATCCACCCACTCCTCATCACCTCACCCTGTCCATCCCTACCCTTAACACTTTCCACTCATTTCCCACTATCTAGCCTTTTACACAGCTTTGCTTCCTCTTCGTGCGACGGAGGAGACTTCCTAGGCTTCTTGCCTGGGTTCTCCTTCACCCACTCCTAACCCTTTACTCCACCCCTACCATTAACCTTCTCCACCCTCTCCTCACTATCTAGCTTGGCTTCCTTTTCGTGCGACGAAGGAGACTTACCTGCAGCGACAGGGCGACGACGCACGCCTTCCCGCAGAGAGCCGAGAACTCGAGAGACTCGAGGGAGAGGGCGCTGACGTGACCTCCCGGCTCCTCCGCCGTGCACACGAACCTTCCTTCTCGCGTCATCCTCTCCATCTCCTCCGCCGTCGTCACGGCGACGCACGGCTCCGTGCGCCGGCTGCTGTGGAGTACCCTGAGAGGCAGAACCGCGTTACGCGGTCACGAGCGAGCCGCGCCGAGGCGTTGATGGTCAGGGTATGCAGGTGTCAATGCATGAATCCGAGTCGAAGTACACTACTCTGTTTTTATTAACTGTCTGTTGTATATTACAAGTTATTATACTTTATCATTTACTTCTTGGATATTGCGATCATGTTTTGATGATACCTGCGTAAATGCTAGAGGCCCGTGATTCACGGGCCGCAAATAGCTAGTATAATAGATGCCCCGTCCAATATAACATATCCCCACCCCATATAATAGATCACCAACCCATATAACAGATCCCCTTATTCCATATAACAAATCCCTTATCCCATATACACTGATCCCTTATCCCATATAACAGAACCCCTCATCCCATATAACAGAACCCCTCATCCCATATAACAGAACCCCTCATCCCATATAACAGATCCCTCCATCCCATATAACAGATCCCCCCATCCCATATAACAGATCCCCCCATCCCATATAACAAATCCCCTTATCCCATATAACACTGATCCCTTATCCCATATAACAAATCCCTTATCCCATATAACAGAACCCCTTATCCCATATAACAGATCCCTCCATCCCGTATAACAGATCCCCATCCCATATAATAGATCACCAACCCATATAACAGATCCCCTTATCCCATATAACAGATCCCTCCATCCCGTATAACAGATCCCCATCCCATATAATAGATCCCCCCACCCCATATAACAGAACCCCCATCCCATATAACAGATCCCCCCATCCCATATAACAGATCCCCTTATCCCATATAACAGATCCCCCCACCCCATATAACAGAACCCCCATCCCATATAACAGAACCCCTTATCCATATAACAGATCCCCCCAATCCCATATAAACAGATCCCCCCCCAATCCCTATAAACAGTATCCCGCATCCATATAAACAGAAACCTCCCCGATACATATAAACAGATCCCCCCATTCCCATATAAACAGATCCCCCCTCCGCATATAACAGATCCGCGCTTATCCGCATATAAACAGATTCGCCCATCCCATACAACAGAACCCCTTATCCCATATAACAGATCCCGCCCTTATCCGCATATAACAGATGCCCCTTATTTCCATAATAACAGATCGCCTTCATCCCATATAACAGATCCCCCCATCGCCATATAACAGATCCCTTCATCCCATAATAACAGATCCCGGCCCTTATCCCATATAACAGATCGCCCTTATTCCATATAACAGATCCCCCATCCCATATAAACAGATCCCACTCATCGCAATATTAACAGAGTCGCCCATCCGCATAATAACAGAACCCACGCCATGCCCATAATAACAGTCCCGCCTCTTATGCCCATATAAGCACGATCCTTATCCCATATAAACAAATCCTTATCCCATATAACAGAACCCTTAATCCCCAATATAACAGAACGCCCTTATCCCCATATAAGCAGAACCCCCCATCCCATATAACAGATCCCCCCATGCCATATAACAGATCCCCTTATCCCATATAACAGATGCCCCCCACCCCATATAACAGAATCCCCCATCGCCATATAACAATCGCCCTTATTTCGCATATAACAGATACCTCCCGCTCCCCATATAAGCAGAACGCCCTTATCCCATATAACAGATCCGCGGCCCTTATCACCATATAACAGATCGCCGGCTTATTCCAATATAACAGATCCAACTCATCCCATATAACAGATCCCCCATCCCATATAAACAGATCCCCTGCATCCCATATAACAAGATCCCGGCCCTTATCCCATATAAAGCAGATCCGCCTTATTCCATATAACAGATCCCCTCATCCCGATATACAGATCCCCTCATACCCATATAACAAGATGCCCCATCCCATATAACAGAAACCGCCCCATCCCATATAACAGATCCGGCCCATTATGCCCATATAAACACTGATCGCCTTATCCCTCATATAACAAATCCCTTATCCATATAACAGAACCCCTTAAATCCGCATATAACAGAACCCCTTATCCATATAATCAGAACACCGGCATCCCATATAAGCCAGGATCCGCAGCGCATCCCATATAACAGTATCCCCTTATCCCATAATAACAGATCCCACCACCAATATAGCAGAACCGCACCGCATACCCATATAAACAGATCCCGCTCATCCCATATAACAGAACCCCTTATGGGCCCATATAACAGAACCCCTTATCCCAATATACAGAAGCGCCTTATCCCATATAACAGAAGCCCCCCCAATCCCATATAACAGATCCGCAGCCATCCCAATATAAACAGATCCGCCTTAATCCCATATAACAGATCCACCCACCCCATAAAGCAGAACCCCATCCCCATATAACAGAACGCGCCTCATCCGCAATATAAACAGAACCCCTTAATCCCATATAACAAGATGCCCATCCCGATATACAGATCCCCCCATGCCGCATAAACAGATCGCCCTCATCCGCATATAACAGAACCCCTCAATCCCATATAACAGACCCAGATCCAGATATAACAGATCCCCTCATCCCCATATAACAGAACCCCTCATCCCATCATAACAGATACGCAGATGCCCGAGATATAACAGCTCCGCCATCATCCGCATATAAGCAGATCGCCAGTATCCCATATAACAAGATTCAGATGCCCCATATTAACAGATCCCAGATCCCCATATCCCTTCATCCTGTATTCTGTTATCCTAGCCTGTGGTTTATGCAACATTAGGTAATATAATTATTAGGCCTACAAAAAAAAATGTACTTGACGCATATATTTGCGTTACCTATGACTAACCTGAAACAAAGTATGTGAGTGTAAAGACACTCTTGAATAACCTTTCCACCTTTCCTCCACCCAAACCTTTCAGTTTTAGAAAAGACCCTCAGACAGAGCAAGGGAGAAGACAAACACAAGGATGAAAATGGCCGACCACGCGAATTCGCCGATTCGCGTGGATAAAATACGATAGCAGCGAACGAGAAGTCGTACCCTGTGCTCAGATAATCGGTGAACTCGCGAGTTAGCCTGTGCACGAGGTGCTGCCGCTGGCAGGGTAGAGGGCTGCTCACCACTACCACGGGATGTGGGTACTGCGCACTTGTCGTCGTACTGAAATACAGAGGGCAGCACCTGTCAGGCACACGGCTGTATAACACGGGATCTGTATATGCACTATGCGCTATATATACGCACTACGTATTATATACACACTATAAGCATTATATACACACTATAAGCATTATATACACACTATAAGCACTATATATACACACTGTAAGCACTATATGTACACACTACAAACTATATATACACAGCACACACTATATATACACGCTACACAGTACACACTATATAATATACACACTATATACACACTAAGCACTATACACACACACTAAATGGCATCGATACAAATAATTGTTCGGTATTATAGAATCAGGAGTGTATAATAAAATAGATATCTATATATTATACACTCATGATAGGCTAGCATTATAATTGTTCCGGATCATCGATGGACAGAAGTATACACATTACTATATATACACACTACGTACTATATATATATACTAAGCACTATATGTACACACTACAAACTATATACACACAGTACGCACTATATCTAAACACTTTATGGG